TCCCGGAGGACGTCCACAAGACGACATCCGGTGAAAAGGAGAGGGTCCTGGGTCGGCTGAAGGCGCAGAACCCTGACCTAACAGTAGTAAGATGGTGCAATTTCCACCACGAGGTGAAGGTTAACTAATTGTACTAAGAATTTTTCTTTCATTCTTAACCCTCTCAAAAATTAATAAGCACGCCCCCAATTTGCTGTCAACTGGGCTTACTTCTACTCTCAATCATTATTGGTTTTAGTATAGTTCTTTCGCTATGGCACGCACCGTTTCTGATGGGTCAGTCTTCACCAGGGTGCATAAAACCTCGTCCTGGATTACTGAAATTCACTGAAACACTCTAATAACGCTTTATAATAGTCGTTGTTGATGTTGTTTCCCTTTCCAAGGTAATCGATAGATATTATAATATGCGAGTCCCAAAATACTCATACCATAACCCCGCCAGCCGACTGCTGCGACTTTGCACGTTTTGGAGTCGATTTACCACGTGCAGTCCACTCAGATAACGGTCGTTTTGATTCTAGTGTGACATCATAATATAGTTAATCAACTGAAAACATGCAGAAAATTAAAGATTGGAAGAAATGAACAGCATCAAAGTATAGAGTATAAAACTCTCACCTCCTGAAAAGTCACAAATCTGTTACGAAAACCAAAAGTATAATGTACTAAACAATAAAAAACAAATATACTTTCGTCACTATTTTTAGGCGACCTTGCCCTCGAATTGTGTATTACTTCAATTTAGTTGTTAATTGAATGCAATAACGGAAAAGTTCTAGTGCACGCCTTTCTAATTGGCAAATTCGCGGTTCAACACAGCTCATCATTATGCTGATCGGATGTTTTTTTAACTGAAGCTCATTAAATTTACATAGAACTGTTTTTACTATTCTGAAAATGCTTGGTTTCAAGCCATTGAAAGGGTATTTTGGATCCCAGATGTACACACTGAGATCCAGCTTTTTGAATTTATGATAATTTCGAAGTCAATAATAATAAATATTACTGGAATTTTTCCCTACACCAAACCGTTATTTCAACACCTCAACACGCGTTTCGATCACCAAATGATCATCTTCAAGAGGAATTTCAAACTAAAACTGTTTTAGTTTGATCTTCCTCTTGAAGATAATCACTTGGTGATCGAAACGCGTGTCGAGGTTCAAAANGAGCAAAACAAAGGCATGAATCAGTACGGCGCGAGCCACGAAGTCGAGTGGCAGTCGCGGCGAATAGTGCGGTGATCAAACGAGTTTACAGCCTGGCTACGGGACACTCGCCGATGCGAATATTCGCGGGGTGCGAACGGCGAAGCGTCTAGCGACTGAAACAAACGCATAGGAATGTGTTTATGAAGCCACCCGCATCGGCGACCGGCGAAGCGACCGGCGAAATGTACCGAGCGAATCGCGTGGGTGACTTGCGGCGCGGCCGGTGAGCAAAACAAATGCATGAATCTGTACCGCGCGAGCCACGGAGTCGAGCGGTAGTCGCGGCGAATAGTGCAGTGATCAAACGAGTTTAGTTGTTTTCGCCGCGAAAAATGAACACCGAGACTTTTATTGCTGAATAATTATTCATTCTACCGTCAATTACAAGTTAAAAGTTGTTTTTTGTTTTAGTTGTACAAAAATTACTGTCATATAATTAAAATTTTTGCAATAAATAACATAAATATCTGAAAGTGTTTTTATTTCATGAAATAATAATATACAGGGTAACGAAGGTTTCAATACTCATTCTGGCATACTCAAAATATTTTTCTGGATATAATCTGTATTTCTCGTACTTCTTGAAAACTATTACTTTCCAAGCAATATCGAAATAATTTCGATAAAGACATTTCTTTGTCGGACTACTGGTCGCGGCGGCGAACGTGACTGCCCGTGGCCTGCAAACGGTGCCGCGCGAATGGTCGCCTCGCTCCCCGCTTCGTCGTTCGCACTGCCGATCCCCGTGGCCAAACCGTCTGTCTGGAAAATGATGAAACAGCAGAGCATATACTTTGTGCATGCCCCGCTGCACACCGAATCAGGTTTTCAGAGTTTGGCAGAGCCGCATTCTTCCCATCTGACCTGAAATATCCCTCATCATGTATACTAATCGGATTCGTTGAGAAGCTGGGTTTGTTTGGTAGAGTAAGAATAGGTGTGAGCCACGATAAACCTTTGCGGGTTGCAGTGGAGGGTCGAATAGATCGTCTCAGTTTTGTCCTAATCTAACCTAACCTACAGTTCCGGCTGTAAGACTTTTTTTTTTGGTGAATTTCCTCCCCTTTTTGAATATCTTTACAAATTTGAATAACGTCAAAAAGTTTATGAAATTTTTAAAAAAAAAACCTTTTTTTTTTTCAGTTGATTGTTCATACCATTTGAAATGTTTGCAAGCGACACTTGAATTTTTTCAAAAATCATCTACGTACTTCGTTCATATTTTTCGGAGGCGTAGGAAAAAGTTTGACCTGAAAGTATAGGTTAGGTTAGGTCTAAAGTGAGTGGGTCTAT